ATGCGGGGCCCGATCCCAGGACCCCAGGATCATGACCCGAGCCAAAGGCAGACACACCCAACGATTGAGCCACCCAGGCGCCCCGGAATAATGGAATCTAAGTTGTTAACCTGTTTTCAAATGAGATCTATTCAACCCTCTTCCCTGAACGAACACTGCAGTAGTCAGTCTCTTGACCTTCCCTACAGAATGGCAACCAAAAAAATTCCAAGGTAGATGCCCACAGTTTATGCTCCCATATCTGTAAGGACAATACTGTGAGCAAGATTAACCTAATCAAAGCATTGTAAATAAAAAAACCATTCATCTGATAATACAATCCCACTGGGATCAGGATGAGCTGGTCACTAATGTCAATTCAACAGCAGAATGGAATCATAACTCAAAAGAGTTTTTGTCTGAAAAAAACCTCTTAACTATCATTAAAGATATGCCTCCCCACCAAAATACATATATATGGCTTGAAAGAATTCTGGATTGAGACTAGAATCCTTAGGTAAAATCACAATCCTCTCTCTGACTCAGTGAATGCTTCAAGGAAAACAATGTCTCAGAACTGTCTCTCAAGAGGAGTTTCCCAATCAAAAAACTGGTAAAATATCTTTGGCTCCTTTTCTATCCTTTCATGGACCATGTGAGTGCAAAGCACAGTGAGCTCTCTGGAGATAACCATACAACATATAGTTTAAGCTATAAACTATAGTGGGCTAGCGGAGTGCTATAGTGTTTTGTTTTTGAAGATCAGTTGCTTTGGAAAATTGAGATTTTTAGCAATCACCTTTATTAAGCATAAAATAAAACTAATTTACTATTGTTTCTAGTAAGAATCCAAAAATTTGATCTGTAGAGACCCACCAAGAAAGGGGCCCCACAACCATCATATATATAAAGCATAAAGACAGGGAAAAATGATGCTAAAAACTTGGGGAAATCTTAAACTGCATATTCTGAGAATGAGAACACTTGCTTGAACATAAAAAAGGATGCACCAGAGATCACGATTATATATAAAAATGATTCCTACATTAATTCTTGATATTCTTGAAATGATTTAGCTATTTATACTTGCAAATAAAAATCATCTAAAGATAGTCCCATCAGTGATACTTCATTTAGGTTTATTTTGGGAGTAAAGTTGGGAATTACATCAGTAAACGGTAACTTCTCTTAGAAAAGAACCATGTCTTATCAAGCCTTATACCTCCAACACATATGACAGTGCCTTTTAGAGTTGATCCTTAAATCCTTGCACTGCATCAATTTTAGAGAATGGTTGCCATTTATCACCCATAGAAAGAGAGTACTTCCACTATCTTTTACAGAGGTATTGATGATCTGATAAATCCGTCTCACTCCAATCTAAATAACCCTATTTAAAAAGCCATTACCTCTAAAAGAAAACAAAAGACAATCAGCCTTAGGCCCCATTACAGGCTGAAGTAGGTCACCTAAAAAGATATGTTGAAGTTCCAACCCCCAGGACTTCAGATTATAACCTTTGGAGATAGGGTCATCGAAGATGTAATTAGTTAAAATGAGGTCATACTGGAGTAGGGTAGGCCCTTAATTCAATATGACTGGTGCCCTTACAAAGGGAGAGAAGACACAGAGACACACGGGGGAACACCGTGTGAAGATGGGAGGCAGAGATTGAAGCTATGCTGCCTCAAGCCACAGAATGCCAAAGAATGATCCTCCCTAGAGGCTTCAGAGGAAGTATGGTCTGTTAACACCTTGGGTTGGGATTTCTGGCCTGGACTGTGAGAGAATAAACTTACGTTGTTTCAAACCACCTAATTTTTGGCATTTTGTTACAGTAGCCCTAGGAAATGAATACAGGCACCTTCAACGGTAAAACTGTATTCCAGACTCCAACCATACTATACATAACCAGTGACAGAGGTATTAAAAAACAAATGCACATATTTTTAGACATCATTTTAACCAAATTATGTATCATGGAGTTTCTTATATACAGAGAATAATCATTTATGAGGATATCAAATATAGCCTTTACAAATGAAGAATCTCAATTTCTGCATTAAAACTGAAAGGGAATTAATTTATTAAAGTGAAACTAGAAAATAAAATACCTGTAATTAGTAGACAACAGCCAGAAACAGTTGCCCAAGAAAAGAGATGGATATTCTGTCATTTATATGACCTAAAACCATGAAAAAATGCTATCCACCTAGGAGGAACAATCCCTAGTTAAGGATCTAATTTAGACAGTCCTAACTGCTCTGATGGCTCTACACAAAGTCACCATTTTGTACTCTGTGAAAGATTTCCAGAAACTCCTGGGCCTCAGGGTGGCTGTTTACAGAGTAAAAAGATAAAATACTGCTATCAGCTACAACTGTGAGCACTTCTCAAAAAGAAAATTAATTACATTTTGTATCTCTATACAAACACACTATTATTTTCAGTCAAAGTCTTTAGACATTTTAGAGACAGCCATCTAAAGAGTAACCACTGTCAGGAGTCACCATCACATCTAGGACTCAGTCTGAGCACTAGGTGGCTTTGGCCAGTATTGGGGATATAGCTTCCGGTCCCATTCTAACGAAACTGGTGTTCCACTTTCGGGGCAATTTGCAGGCCCTGGTCAGGGTGTCATGCCTTGGCGTACAGCCATTTCCACTGCCTGGTGCATTTCTGCTCTCCCCAGCCACCTATGCTTAGCACTTGGAGTGGATGTTGTTCTGAGCCTCTGGCACCTGCCCTAACTCAAAAGACTTTGTTTTTCTTCCTGGGTAATGTATCTTTGACTCAATAGCTAACCTCTTATCACACCAAATTACACATACTCAAGGTACATGTGTGAGGCAAAGACATACCTAAGCCAAATGGAGGGTAATGTATCACATATAAAAGTGACTGCTAATGTGCAATCCAGAGTTAGTATTATTAATAAGATCAGTATCTGTACTTTATTTCAGTTATAAATTTGTTGTTTCTTTATGTTTCGTTACTATTAAAGGAGTCCCACACTCTCCAATTACTGCTCAGTAAGTTACTTCAGGAAGGAAAAAAGGAAAAGCAGTCTATGGAACCCTCCAACTCACGGTGACCTATAGATCAAATGTCTGAGAGCCCACAGTTAAAAACACAATGCCCTTCCCCCCAGGCTCAGATGAAAATAATCTAACAAATAAAGACAAAGAAATAAGATATACCAAAAGATACTATAACCTAAAGATACATATATTTTTTAAGTCCAGAGCTAATCTTAGCTATTTACATAGTTGGAATTTTAGGATTATAAATGTTAATTTCCTCCTTGAAGTAAATACTTGAATGTTTCAAACCAAAGTTATGATAAAGTGAAAGAGTGCTTAAGATTCCAAGTTGCTGACAGATACACACTGTGGCTGGCCCCCAGCCTGAGCCCCTGCCTTTAAGGGAGCCACTCTCTAATGACTGGACACCGTCTCCTTAAAGGGCCTCAGGGGCATATCCTGTAAGGTTCTTCTAGGGTTTTATTTTGTTTTATACCTAACTCAGGACGTTCTTCCTTAGGTCCTTACCCATTTCATTTTTCTATGGACCCAGAATCAACATGCTTACTGACTCCTCGTGAAAAATCATTACATAATTAAAAAGATAAGTCCTCGATTTCTCTTCCTTAACTTCAGCAATTGGTTCTTTTTTTTTTAAGATTTAATTTATTGATTTATTTGAGAGAGATGGAGGGAGGGAGGGAAGGACAGAGGGAGGGAGGGAAGCCGACTCCCCGCTGAGCAGGGAGCCTGATGCGGGGCTCGATCCCAGGACTCCAGGGTCATGACTTGAGCCGAAGACAGACCTTTCACCGACTGAGCCACCCAGGTGCCCCAAATTCTGATTCTTTTAAACTTTAATGTAGAACATTTACTATTTCTCTGATTACTTTTGTCATTTTTTCTAGGACTTCACCTCATTCCCTACGTTTCTTTACACATGTAGGGACTAAAGCTGAATGAAAAGAGGACTACCATGGCTAGAATTTTTAATTACTACAATTACAGAAAACTTAAAGCAACTTTTTTTTTTTTTTAAAGATTTTATTTATTTATTTGACAGAGAGAGACATAGCGAGAGAGGGAACACAAGCAGGGGGAGTGGGAGAGGGAGAAGCAGGCTCCCCGCGGAGCAAGGAGCCTGATGTGGGACTTGATCCCAGGACCGTGGGATCATGATCTGAGCTAAAGGCAGTCGCTTAACCGACTAAGCCACCCAGGCGCCCCTTAAAGCAACTTTTCATCTGCAATTTAATCACTGCAGTTCACTTACTTGATAAGGTTCTGGAAAGCATAACCATCTGTCCATTGTTCAGTAAAAGAAGCCCCATGTCGAACGGTGGTAAAGTGGCCCAATCTCAAGCGGTCTTGCATGCTCTTATCTCTACACGCCATCTTCTCTTGTTTTGACTTAGGGGAAAGGACAAATAGAAAAGAACTTTATTCTCTGATGAGAACTCAGATATAGCATGGTGTTTACTTTCCGCACTATACTGATCAAAGTTTAGTAACTGGCTGACTCTACATGGTCTTCAGGAAGTACCCTAAAACTTTAAATAAATTCTCTGTATTAATGGAAAAAAGTGGTTTCCTTTCTATAAAATTAATGAATTAAAAGCTAAAACAACATTCTCCTCAGTATCTTTGACATCAATAACCTACTTCCCTTTTGTCAGTGCTCCCTGTCTTTTTAACAGCATTCCAAAGACTTCAGCAGAAGCAATCACCAATCTGTTAGAAACCTCTAGTTTGTAATAATTTATTTCATTAGCAGTACTGATATCTTTCAATAGACTATAAATAAGTACTGGGATATAATAAAATTTTTCAAGAAATAGTTACTAATAACTATTAAAGTCAAGTCACAGCTAATCAATTACTCTAATAAAGGAAACAACAGCCAATTAAAGCAGTTGCATACAAGTGTATGTCAACTTAACTTTTTTAAGGCACAAATTATCACATTATTATATATGTAAGTTACTCTAATTACCATCTCTAAAATGGAAGAGTAACTATTACTAAAGGTTTGCAATAGTAACAGGATATGCACTTCAAATGATCGGATGAATGTACGAATGGAGGAGAGCGACACTGCAAATAAATTCAACTAGGCCAAGCTGTCCCTGTCCAATCAACATTCCATTCCAAGCAAGGCACAACCAAAAACAATGCCCCAAATTATCACTCTGGATGCTTGAGCCAGTGTCCATTAAGAAAGAATTCTAACTGTCAAATCATAAGGAGTCTTCTCCTAAAAAGCCCTACTTTAAAATGTTTTCATCTCAGGTAAGGAGTGAGGAGCTACAGCAATGCCACACCCTGAGCATCCGGGGATGCAGGGCTCAGGCCACCCCAACACTCACCTTTTCTATAAGGAGTTTCTTGCTCATTGTCACACATCGATTTAATCGTTCTTTGTACTTTTCTAGCACCTTTTGCTGCTCATCAATCTGCCGCCTCAAATCACAGTTGGCCTTCAAGGGGAAAACATTTTTTAAATTAGCTCCAAGGAAGACAGATTAATACATCAGCAGCTTTTAGGGAGTCCAAACATAATTTCTTATTGCTCAATCAAAAGCAAAATTAAGGTTCAAAGAGCTAAGAGTAACCAGATTTAAAAAACAAATACTTCATTCCTTTAGTCTCTCTTCATAAACTTATCTATTTAGTAAAGATGAATTGTTTCTACAAGTGGGCACGTTTTTCTACTGATCATATTTTACTCCTCTCAAAAGGCAGTTACAGGTAAATCTAGTACATCACATATACCTAAACTGTCGCAAAATAAAAAAACCTACAATTAATGAGATGTTTAAAATACATTCAAAAGGTGATTAAGCACTTTATAGCACTCACAAAATACTTACAAAGGATAATTAAACATAAAAAAATAACAGAATTTTAAAAAAAACCACATAATGTTCTTATGTTCAATTGTTCTTTTTCTATTCTTGTTTCCAAAGAAAGAGAGACATGAATTTACATAAATATTTCTTACCAGAGAAGCCAGGCACACCCATGCCCGCATAAGACAGAACTAACAAACAAGATGAATACGAGGTCCCGGTTCTCAAGAATGCCAGAATGTAAATACACAGTTAATTTAGCTGTGGTCAGGAGAATGGGCTAAATACTTTGAAAAAGTCAAACCTCCTACAATAACAGAGAAGGGAAGAACCACTAACCCAAGGTCAATTTTGACTTGCAATTTTTAAACTTATTCTTTTTTTTTTTTCTTTAAAGATTTTATTTATTTATTTATTTGAGAGAGAGAGAGAGAGAAACAGCATGAGAGGGGACAGGGTCAGAGGGAGAAGCAGGTTCCCCGCCGAGCCGGGAGCCCGATGCGGGACTCGATCCGAGGACTCCAGGATCATGACCTGAGCCGAAGGCAGTCGCTTAACCAACTGAGCCACCCAGGCGCCCTAAACTTATTCTTGTATTAACAAAAGATCTCTACTCTTTCAGGAAATAAATGCTACTTTATAATAATGTGCTTGAGTTGTGAAAAAAGATCTGGCATTTCCCAATCAAATGACAGAAGTGTTTCTGAAACACTAAAAAGCACAAATGGAAGATATTACAGCACACGCAATTTCTGAGACTTCACAGCTTCATTTTTAAAGTGGCCCATGTAGGGCGCCTGGGTGGCTCAGTTGGTTAAGCGACTGCCTTCGGCTCAGGTCATGATCCTGGAGTCCCGGGATCGAGTCCCGCATCGGGCTCC